AATTCATTTTTAGAAACTTCATACTTAAATATCTATTTAATAAAAGCATATTTAATATTAATTACTTATTTAATAAGCACCAACATATTGCAAAATGTATTTGTATATTAAATATTTATAATAATTAATTACATTGATTATTAAATATATTGATATTTTAATGTTCATTTATAATATTTAAATGTTAACATTTATACTGTTGCAAAGAAAGTCATTTCATATTTAATATTAAATTGTCTTCAACTGTCTTAAAATTTAATTGTGATGAAGCCTTGTGTGTGTGTTGATTTTCTTGAAGTCAACATATTGCTTACTTCAAGAGTGAAAGATGGTCTCAAAAAAGACAAATACACTTGCAATCTGGCGATACACAAAATACAAAGTGTTAAAAATTCAAGCCAGATGTGGTGTCCTCACCTGTAGTCCCAGCTAATTTGGAAGCTGAGGCAGGAAAATCACTTAAACCTACAAGTTTGAGATCAGCAAAGGCAACAGAGCATGTCTTTCCTGAGACATTTCCCATCTTAGGGAAAAAAAAATGTGTTCTTGAAAATTGCTAACAGAGTGAACTTTACGTGTTCTCGCCAAAAACCGTGATTAAGCACAGGAAGTAATGCCTTGGTTAAGTAGTCCAATTTAGTCATTGCACAATGTTTACACACTTCAAAATACACACATGGTGAGTGTCTATCAAAGAACAAACGAAATTAGGGGGTGTTAAGATTCTGAGTGAAGTGTCACAGTGAAGGACTGGGCACTCACTCCTGCCAGTTATTTCAAATAATTCCTGCAGGAAGCCTTGGAGACCCCATCTGGGGGTCTTTTGGATGTAGGGCCCTGTTTTCTTTCTGGTAGGCACTCTCCTTCTTCTCCCAACCTGAGCAAGCTAACCAAGTCTGTGCAGTTTCCAGGACACTGAGAGGTGAGGCTTTGCCTTGTGTAAAAGCTAGACATTTCATTGGAATTTAGTATCTCTACCAACAGTACAACTGAAGTGTGGCAGGGAAGATTTAACTAATTCAAAATGGAAGTGAACAAAGAAGTAGAGATAGAAGATTTTACATTTTGGAACAAACATGACTGATATAAAAACTTGTGCACAGTTCACTAAACAGAAGATACCAATGGACACTAGTATAAAAATTGATGAGAAGCAGCAATCTGTATTTGACTGCCGAGTACACGAATCACTGGCTTGCATATGTATTTAAATCTTACCATTGGCCTACTTGATAATATAGGAAAGTGTCAGCTATCACCAACTACCCAAACCTCACAACCCACTACACAATCCCTACCACCAACACACGACTGCTCATGATATATGCTAGTTTAGGCTTCAGGCTTATGATCCTGAGTTCTTATTGTTCAGCGTGGTCCTTGCTCTGTGTCTGTATGATAGACACAGATGTCACCCTATCAGATGGTATAATTTAAATCCCATGAGCACATGGATTGACATGGAAGTCCTTTACCTTGTGGTTATGCAAAGTAGGGTGTATCCCTTTTCCAATGAACAAACTAGTGATTAATTCTGATAACACGTGCAAAAACACATGGCTCAGACTTCTTTGCGTCACCCTCTGGAATATCATTACCCATCCTCACCAAAATATACCATTAAATTCTTTCCTGAGTAATTACCCTTCTCATGTGAAAGTTAAGAAGCACTTTTTGGAGTAAAAGGTGTAGAGGGTTGATAGATCAATATCTTCAAGAAAAAAGAAAAATTTATAATGCAAAGTATATGCTTGAATTTATGCTCACTCAACAATGGTAGAGGTGACAACAGAGTCTAGAGGCTAAATGAGAGACAGTGAGATTAAAGGCTGTCTTTTCATGTTCCTAGAATTTAACCTGATACTCTTTCCATTTCAGCATCTCATTCCATATTTGCCATGTCTCGTCATGTGGATATCCCACAGTTGTTACATATGTCTAGATAAAATACACACAGATATACAGCCCCATGTGTGGGTGCTGAGTCATTAATACTGAGATTATGGCCACATGGGCTGAAATTCTAGAGAGTAAGAAATTACTAGGTAAAAATTGCTGCCTAGCTACTGCCTTCCTTACTCTGCCCAGACAAATCCTTTTCTACATTTTCCTCACTACTTTTTAAAAGAGAATTTATTGACTACTTTCTGTGTGCAGAAAATTACTTGTTGGCAAATTATAATTTAACCCAAAGTGCAATCTAATGCTTATGGGAAGGTATGACTTTTAAATTAAAGTGAATTATTTCTCTCTACGAGGTGACACATCAGGAGAAATAGACAACCACAGAGGAGTAATGTAGGACCCATGGGCTTACAGAAGGGAGCTGACACTCCTGACCATGGCCTTGTCGTCCCATTAGAAGGTTTTAAAATCAATAATTTGTATACACAGACTTTCCCTGTAACCTTACACAGTGTTAACATTTCAAAACATGAATAACGGAGAAAGAGAAACTTCATCTCATCACAAACTTAACCCCATCATTGATTTCAGTACATGGGAATTAGGGGAAGGACAGCCTGTGAGAGCGATTTTCCTCAAATTCATGTGCCAAGTATAAAAAAATAACTATAGCTGAATGAAAATTGCATTTGTAAAAAGTGACTTGTAAGTAATGTACGTTATCATTCACATGTAAGCTTCAAGGGATCTCTTTTCTCTGCAATATCTCCAGGATTGAGAACAATGACTTCAGTGTGTCGGACATTGAGTAACTACTTACTAAATGAATAATGTTCTCTAACCTAGTATAGAACAATGCTTGGTTTCCAAACTCAGATTCTAACCTCAAACTCTGTGGTCACAGATATCTCAACAGCAAACAGCAGGAAGCAAGAAGGAGGTGATAAGCCACCAGATTCCTAGAATCTAGCAATACTGATGTGCAGAAAGCTGAATTAATTAAAGAAAGGCCCAGATTACATCTTACTCATCTGTCATCTTTGAAACTAATGATCCAAGCATGTCGTCTGACTCCTGTGTAACTCAGGACACGCTTGGAACAAAAGAAATGCAGCCATCGCTGTGCTGAAGTTAGAGAGCATTGCCTGCCGTGGGGAGGGTGGTGACACTGGGGATGCCAGGCTAGCTCACAATCTGGGGACGGTGGATACTCAGAATGCCAGGTCTTCAAGCCATCTGGTTGGCCACTGATGTGGCTTTGGATAAAGTGTGGTGTTTGGACGGTTGTGCTTTTATTTGATACCTCTGACTCCCTCCTTTTACTGTGTGAAAAACACGATAAAGAACCACATTAAAGCTGTGCTTTCCCAGCAGCCCATCACCTGAGCCAGACACATGCAAACTTGTCACCAGTTACATTTCTGTGAAGGAATTTCTGCAAATATGTTGATTGTGTTCTGGAGAACGTTGCTATGTCTGACCACAACAAAGTCAAGTCAGTCTGATTGGTGCTTGAGAAGCGTCTGTTTGGGAGAGACTGAGACCTATGTTTACTTTGGATTAATTTTTCTTCTGGTAAAATAGGACAAAAGACCGTTGTCACCTTAGAACAGTGGAATCAACCTGGTAGGACTGAGCTGAACTCACCGTTCACCAAGTTGAACCTTCTTTTTAAGCAAAACTCAAGGTGTCAGATCTTGTTCTATCTTGATTTACCTAACTCTCTCCCATCTTTGGACAAAAATATAGATGAAAAGCAGTCAGACACTTTCGGATTTGCATTCTTGCTGCCTTTTGCTAATGATTTAACTGAGGTTAAATTACTTAGATAAATTGCAGGTGACAGTGTGCAGATGTGCCCATAGGATTCGAGCAAGGATTACTTGATATATCTGACTTCTTTTTGTGTGTGTTGGGGAACAAACCTGGAACTTCATACACACTAGACAAGTGCTGTGACACCGAGATACACTGCCAGTTCCCCGAAATTTCTATGAAGGATCTTTTAAGCAATCCTCCATGTTAACTGCAGAGTTCAGAGTCATAACCGGTTCTCCACAAGTTAGAGCTACTGATAAAAATATAAAAGCAGAAGTCGAGTCTCATAGCTAAACTCTCTTGTTGATTTCACCTCCCGTGGTTCTGCATACTCGGAAAAACAGACAAAATGCTAGTATTTTAATGAATTATAAAGAAATGAATGAGAGACTGCATGCAGTTATCATCATGTTCTTTAGTTCATGGCTTTGCTTCTTCCTGTCCTTCTGTCTTTCTAACATCTGCCCTGCTTTTCCTCATCCTGAAGAGGCTCCACCTTCACCTTCTAGAGCCCCACACACACAGGTGACATTCGTGACTCCTTACTGATCCCAGTGAAGGGGAGCACAGGGGCCCTGTTATGACTTTAATAAAAATCCCAAGACTGTAAACATAAAATGAGTGTCATTTTTCACAGTGGCCAACTGTGGACACTGTGCATTTTAATGCACAGATTATACCCTCAAAAATGATGTACAATATTGATGTATCAGAGGCACTCAGTGAACCTCTACTGAATAGGACTGTGATTAATTTTAAGAGGTATTTTTAATTAAAGAATGCATTTTAAAATTAATTAATGTGATAGACTGATATACTTATTGACCATTAATTTTTACAAGCCAAGCATTATTTGACACTTTTAAGACCTATGCATTTTAGAAAAAATAATTTGGAAGTTATTTTGTAATAACAATTTCTGCCCCCTCAAATCTTGATCTTTGTGAAAGACACAGGAAAAGATGCAATATTGTTGCCAAATCAATGAGTCACACCTTGGGCACAGCCAAGTGTGTAAGACATGATTCAGAATACTCAACTACTGCTATTGGAAATGATCTATGATTGTGATTAATTGCATTGGAAATTTTGATTAAAATTGATCTGTCCAATTTTCTGGCACTGGCTCTGTGAGTCAAATCTCACCCTGGAAACACATAAATCAATTTAGCCTGGACTTATGTGAAAACTGGGGGAGAAAGATAGGAGTAATTTCTGAGTTGTCAGTGACTGATGGATGTCCTGATTTCGCAGCTTTGGCCAAGAGAAGGTCTTACCGTAGCTGTTGTAGGCGTCCTCGCTGACTCCATGAGTGTAGTCATAGTATTCAGGCACACTGCAACAGATGTAGACAGCAATCAATGTTCCTGTAACCAGGAGAAGCAGCCCAGAAACTCATACGGAGTTTGAGGTCAATATGTGTGCTAAAGTAATATCCCAGGAGCCTCTACTCATAAAACCCACCCTTAAAGAAATATTCCGTAAGAGAAATGCAGGTTACTGGCAAGAGGTGCTCTAAGTTTTTCTTAACGCTTCAGTACTTATTTACCTCTGTATTTCCCCAATATGTACAATACTTATTATCACTCAGTATTTTCCTAACCACTTCTGCATTTAGTAACACTGGAAAAGGTATTTGTCCTCTATTTCTTACCCAAAGGACATCGAACATAACTTCCTTCCCCTCTCTTAGTCCAGTCATTCTGTTCTGTTGAATCAGCTCCTCTCAGCTCCTATCAGCACCTCAACATCCTTCAAGAGCCCTTCCTCATACACCCATCTCATCTGGTTGACCATGGCTTTCTCTGTAGGTGTTTACAGCAAAATTTCTAGGAAAGCAGTGACTCTGGTGCACTCTGCTGACGCTCCCTACACATGCTTTGAGGATGCACGGTGGGCTGCTGTCTCCTCTGCCCCTGGGGAATAGGTCCTGCCATTTCCAAAGCCAATAACAAAGACTTGGTCCTCATCTTACTTTAACATGGTGTAGCACCATGATGTCCTGCTCCTTCAAACACTTCATTTGCTTTGAGAACTCTCTCATGGGTCTCTAAAATCACTTCCGATCTTCATTCTACTCTACTGAAAGCTCCTCATTTGCTCTGGGAAATCCTGGAGACCACTGAGGTTCAGTTAGACATTATCTCTTTTCTGTTCACACTGACTTCCTAGGTGATCTCATCTGATGTGACAGTGTTAATATCCTCTCTACTCTGATGACTTCTGAGTTATGTTTCCATCTCTGGCACTTCTCTTCTTGTCATGTTATGAAATTGTCAAGTGTACATTTTCATTCTGGCATAAAACTGGACATATCCAAATGCAAGCAAAAATTATTTTCTTTTGAACATAGACCTGTTCTGCATTCTTTTCATCTTTGCCAGTGAAAATACCTTATTAGTGCTACTCCTGCCCCAAACCATGGAGTCCTCTCACATTTGATGCTTAATCCAAACAGCAAATTCTTTCACTTCTACTTGCAAAATAGACTCAGAATCTGAACATGCCCAGACAGACACTTCCTCAGCCACAGCTGTAGTTAAAGCCATCATCATTTCTCACTTAAATGAACTTAACATCCTTCTAACTGGTCTCTCTGCCCTGCTTTCTCTGTTTCCATTATTCACATAGCTGTCAAAGTCATTTATATATATGTCAGCTGAGTTCTCTACTCCCATGAAGTTCTAAAGAACTTCCCATGTTCTTTAGAGAGAGTAAAAAATTCTTATTTTGCCTACATAATTTGTTCCTCTAACAGTTCCAGGGTTTGCTCTCTACAGCACTTTCCCCTTTGCTCTCTCAATTAAGGGTGAGGCCAGCTAGAGTTAGGGCAAATTTGGGACTCATGGAAAACATATGACTTAATATTGAATTTCAGATTGAGCACGCCTTAGCTCAGGGACCACCCTCACCTGGCCCGGGAACACCCACGCCTCTCCCCACTTAATAATTATTGGATGGAATCACCTGGTTCCTCCCTTCCCCTAGGTTAGTGTGAGTTTTAAAAGTACCTGGGGAAGAGAAGCACGCTCTCTGTGTGTCCAGATTCCACCTGTGCCCATGTTTCCCTTTGAATTTCCCTTCCCTAACTTTTAATAAACTCCATTTACACCCACGTGTCCTGCCATGGATCTTCCCTGTGGGACACAAAGAATTTGGAAGTCTTCTGATCACAGACTGCACAGTGCTGCTAACAAGGGCACACTGGGCTCTAAGATTTTCTCTGAACATGGCAAAAACATTATTGTCTCAGATCCTTTGCATATACTGATCCAATTATCTGAAAATTACCTTTCCTAAATGTCCAATTGTCCTGTGTTTTCCTTCCTTCCTTCCTTCATCTCTCTTTTTCTCTGTGTACCTCTCTTTCTCTGTCTTTCTTTCTTGCTTGCTTGCTCTCTTTTCTTTATTCTTTCCTTCTTTCTTTTCCTTCTTTTCAGTCCTTCAAAAGTCACTCAAATGCCATCAGGTGTCCCTGATCAATCTACTTAAACTAGGAATCACCCATGCTTACCTGGCATGTTCATCTTAACATTTATCAATCAACACCATAAATATTTCATGAAAACACACAAATGTACACTTGTTAATTGGTTTAACACAAGTTTTACACAAACTTGGTTTCTCTTTTATTCCCTTATTGTCACTGTCCCAGGCTGTTTTTCTAGAACAATGTTTGGTTCACAGTATCTGCTCAATAACTATTAGTGAAACAAAAGTGAATTGCTCATCGGATGCCTTTAAAATGAGTGGTTTCATGTAATCTAGTCATAATTTAATAAACTATACAAAAAGTAAAAGTTATTTTAAGTTAGCACTTAGATAAAGACTTCATATACTTTTTACTCTTATTTAGGGATCTATAAATATTTACGACACAATGTATTTTTCCTTCAGAATGCGCCTTGGTTTAAAGTTGAATATCAATCATTGCCTTCTGCCAGAATCTTGATTCGTTCATTTTCTCAAGAATATTATTTCCTTCATCTCCTGTAGTGTTGGGGATTGAACCCAGGCCCGAGCGAGGTAAGTATTCTACTACTACGTGACACCCTCAACTCTCCTCTTAAGTATTAAAGAGTGTGGCAAGAAAGTGACTGAATATCAAATAGCAAATGTCTGAGGATGAGGGAGAGATGCCAATGACTAGGTAAGGAGGAAGACAGAAGGAACTGAACGTATTTGTTCTCTGACTGTGGCTGTCTTTATCCCCTGAGGTAATCTGGCAGGCATCAGTACATTAAGTACTTGTCATTTCATTGTCAGGAAGAAAACATAAACACAAAACAAAATAAAAGTCTACATTAGAAGTGAGAAAGAGAAATTTGGACATCTTCTATCTTCCTTGGGTGCAATTTATAAGGCACTAACTTTAATTTTAGTGCAAAGAAGCTGGAAAAAAGAATACCCAATTCAGCCCTCACCTTTCAGAATATTTACATACAAACTATCTGGTCAAAATGTTTGGTCATAGATTTTCTCCCCGTCCTCTCCAAGGCTGTAAAAGGTTAATGCCTTTAACTGGTGGCAAGATGTTTGTATCTTCTTTCACATATTATCTTAATAGCAATGACATAACCCAACTCAGAATTCTCATATCCATGTAGCAAATTCCTGACTGATAGCTGTTACACTAATTCCCTGGAAAATCAAGAAATAGCAGTCACGAGAGAATCATGGAAGAAGCAGCATTGCTTGGGGAAATGCTGGCGTCGGTGGGTTCTTCCTGCCTTGGTCACAATCAACAGTTTTTCTGTGACTTATCTTCTGATTATGTTGCCCAGAGTGTGCTGCACGAAGACCAGTACCACCAAACCCTGCCTGGTGGCATTCCTATATTCCTCACTGGATTATAATTTAAATTTTACTTGGTGGCTACAAGAGGGAGAACAAGAAGACGAATGAGAGAGACCCTCTTCAAGAAGCTATTCTTACTGTTTACCAAGAATGGTGCATAAAAGGAAATTTTTAACATTCAGAACTCTCAAAAGGGGAAATAGGACACCTGCGACATTTTGTAAAATAATAGATAATGTGAAGTCGTGGAAAGAAAATGACAAAATGGACTCTGTAGGGTGCCTTTGCTTAGTCAATACCACTTCTCAGCTATCCCATAAGACAGTTCTTAACTTGGGCAATGGCTTTGCAAGCAGTGAATGAAGTGCCCAGCCACCTTTCAGGGAGCTGTGCCCTTGTGACTAACCTAGGAAATATGTGACTGTGACAACCATGGTCATTTCCAACTTAAGGACTTCATCTTGGACTTGTGCTCCTCCCCCTTATTAGTGAGGATCTAGCATTGACCCTGCAAATGTGGACAAGGCCATTGGTGTCATGGACACACCATGGTAGAGCCCTTGTCTCCAGGAATCACAGAGTAGATCCAATCCACACCAGCTGCTTACTTCAGAGACAGTTGGGAGGAACACGTATCTTACTATTGTCCGAACACTGAATTTTGAGTCTGTCACAACAATTTAGTTGAACATGTATGATTCCCAGAACAAACCTTACACCTTCACACATGCACCAACAGGAATTGTGAAGTCTCCAATAAGGATATACTCCACTGTCCTCATATCAGACATGGCTATAGATCTGTCCGTTGTCCATTAGGACAAAGAAGAACTTCCCAGGAAATGTGGCATAACTCCCAGAAAAGAGAGCCAAGGTTGCCAGGTGCACTAATCAAGACTCTCACTTCACTGCTTTCATCTCAGCTTGGCAGAACTTTCTACCCTCGATCCCCACAGAGTCCTCAGTGTTTCCTTTTGCTTTCTGAACGGTGTTTTCTACGACAATTACTCTGTTCCTTTTTGATCACTTCACACTGGGAAGGTTAACGGTAGGAAGTTCATCTGACTGTCATTGTACAGGGTGCCAGACTTCAAACAATTACAAGAACTAATGTAGCCAGGCATGGTGGTACATGCCAGCAATACCAGAACTGGGGAGGCCATTTCAAGGCAAGCTTGAGATACAGAGTGAGTTTGAAGCTTGCCTGGGTTATACAGTGAGGCCCTGCCTCAAAAAACAGCAATGACAACAACAAAAATCCCCTCCCCCCAAGAAAGGGGGGGAAAAGAGAAGAAAAAGGAAAATAGAACCTAGTATAAAGGTCTCCTTTTTTCCTAAAGGTGCTGGATTTTGAAATGGTTGCAGTCATCAAACACCTTGGATTTTCATTGTTGAAGTAGGTATTTTTTTATGATGGAAAGAGGGAAATTCGCTCAGATCTGGATGATGAGGGGTCCAGCTATAGAAGACTTGTAGACTGACCATTCAACCACCTTCCCCCTCGTCTTCCTTACACGAGTGTGGCCATGTAAAGAATGATG